TTTAAATAAATTATTTGAAAAATATTTAAAATTATTATAAATAATTTTAATTATTAAATAAAATTGCAGGCAAATTTACCTGCAAAACACTTGAAGGGATAATAATAAATATGTTATTGATATTAAATAAATGTTTTTTATATTATATACTAATTTTATTAAATTGTTTTAAATTATTTCTTTTTATCATTAATTTTATTTTAAAATATGTACAAATTTTATATAAACTACTTGCAAATAATTAAAATTTAATTTATAAAGTTAATGTATGTTAGAAATTTATAAAACAATTGTAAAATATAATTTTCTTATTATTATTATTATCAATATTATATTAATCTTATATTTTTTATAAATTAATTTATAGATTTATTAGTTATAAATATATTTGAATTACTTTTATGTTTTAATAGTAATAATAAACTATATACTAAAAAGTAATAAAATATTATATAATCGAAAATGAAATATTAAGTAAAAAATTTTTTATTAATAATTGAGCTATATTTTATTAGTAATATTTTGAACATCTATTACATTAATGAAATATTTTTATTAATTATTTAATTTATTATATTATAATTCTTAATATCAAATTTTAAAAATCTCTATTTTTTAACATTACGTATTACATTTTTGTTAAAAGGCTAAAATGCTATTATTATAGCAAAAAAATTGGGTCTAGCAACTCAAAAATTATAAATTATATAAAATGTCATTAACTGACCTTATGTAGATATTTACAGTTTATTAATTAATAAAAATATACAAAAAACTAAAAGTTAATTCTTTAGTGAGAATATATAAAGAGTGAAGAATTGAAAAATAGAGAGATTTCAAAATTAGATTTTACATTATGCATTACTTTAAACTAAACAATGAAAAAAATATTTCATTAAATATATAGTTATCTAATATGTTATTAAAAAAATATAGCTTAGTTACTTATTAAAAATTTACAAAATTGTCTAATTCTTGACTGTGCAATACTTTTATCACCTCTTGGTATATTATAATATTATATTAAAATTATTTTACTGTAAAAGAAATATCAAAATTAATAAAAGCTTGTAATAAAATTTTTGATGAATGTCTTATATTACTATAAATTTATTCTTTAAATTCAATTTTTTATATATATAGTTAAAAAATACTATTTTTTGATGTTATTTAACTTTAAATAATAGATTTACAAATAAAAAAAGATTGATTAAAATTATATTTATAATTTATTTTTAGTTTATTTTCTATTTTTTTATTTATTATTATATAAGTTAAACTTTTAAAAATAATTTAAGCTTAGCTTTTTCTAAGTTATGTATTTTAAGATATTGGTAAATAAAATATCTTTAAATTTCAGTAAGTATAATTATTTGGATTATTAAAAAATAAGTTAAATATCAATTGTATTTAATATAAACTTTTTTTTTATAATGTTCTAATTCTAAATTTGACAAATTATGAATTGAATTTGAAGAGATTATTATTTGAATGATTGTTTTAAAATAAAAGTAATATGAGAAAAAAATTTTGAAAATAAAAAAAAAAGTAAAAAATTTAGAAAATCTGAATTAAACATTAAAAATATAAAAGTTATATTATAAAATAATTAAGAAATGAAGATTGTTTAATAAAAATTATGTTTTAATATTTTATAAAAAAAAAAATTATATCTTTTTATAATGTAAAATTAAAGTAAAAATAATTTTATCAGAATATATTAATCTGCATTATTTTAAGTTTAAAGCATTTAAAAACTAATAAATTTCTCTTTTAAAAAAAGCAAATAATTATTTTATTATTTAATAAATCTTATAATTGAATAGTTATATTTATTGAATAATTAAATGTTTAAATATTTTTATATGTAAAAATATTTTTAGATAATTTTTAATTTTTTTTTATAAGATTAAAACTATCTAATTTATCTTTTAAATATTAATATTATTTATTTTATAAATTAATTTATACTATTGATATCATAAGAAGTATATATATTTTTATTATATTAATTAAAAAATTAATAATATTCTTTCTAATAAGACTACTTCTTAAAGACTATAAAAGATAAATATTTATTGCATTTTATATATTAAAAAAAATAAATAAAGCTATTATTTTTTAAAAAAATTCTAATAATACTTAAAAGATTATATATTAATGTGAATTAAATTAAAAGACTTGTTTATTATATAAAGAAAAAATGTTAATATTTCTTAAGTTAATGCTAAAAATAACTCTTTTTAAATAGACTAATAAGAATATTTTTATAATTTCAAAAGATTATTTCTTACAAAAAGAAATAAAGAAATATTAATAATATTTCTTAATATTATTAAAAGAACTCTTTCTAATAAATTTGCAAAAATATTTTTCAAAGTTTCTATTCTTTATAAAATAAAAAAATGTTTTATAAATAATGCTAAAAATTTTTTTTCTAATAACTTTACAATAAGACTTTTATTCTTATAAAATAAAAAAAATATTAAAAAATTTTCTTAAGTAAATGTCAAAAGAATCTTTTTTAATAGACTTATAAAGATATTTTTCAAAATTTTATTTCTTATAAATAAAAAAAAGAAATGTTAAGAATAAAGATGATATTATAACTAGTTACAACTATATGATGCTTATTTATCACCAGTTGTAACTAGTTGCAATTTAATTTTTATTAATGTCTCAACTAGTTACAATCTTATAATGCTTATTTATTACTAGTTATAATATTATCTTTAGTTAAAAATATTTTTTAAATTAATATTAAAAGAATCTTCTTTAATAGATTTATGAAAAAATTTTTTAAAGTTTTCATTTTCTATAAAATAAAATAAAAAAGAAATGTTAATTATATTTTATAAATAATATTGAAAAATCCTCATCTAATAATCTTATGAAAATATTTTTAGAGTTTTCATTTTTTATAAATAAAAAAAAAAAATGTTAGAAATATTCTTAAGCTAATACTAAAAGAATCTTTCTTTAATAACTGTATAAAAAAATTTTTAAGGTTTTTATTCTTTACAAATAAAAAAAAAAATAATATTAATAATGTTTCTTAAACTAATGTCAAAAAATCCTTTTACAATAGACTTACAAAAAACTTTTTAAAACTTTTATTCCTTACAAAATAAAAAAGAAGAAACTAATAAAAAAGCAATTTTTTTAAAAAAACTAACCTTTAAAATCTTAAAAAAATAAAAAAAATATTAGATTTTTAGTTATCCAATATGATTATCATAATATATTAAAAAGAATATTTTTATTGATTTGTTATGATATCAAGATTAGTATATTTTTTTAATTTTTAACTCTGATTTACATTTGATCTAATTTTACAGATTTTCATAATAAATAAGATTAAAGTATATCTTTAATCAGATTTTATAAATAATAATTTAATGCAATTATATTTATTGTGTAATTTTTATTGCATTTTTTAAATTATGTTAACTATTGTTATGATCTGTTATAAAAAATTTTATTTTATGTAAATATTTGAATTCAATTCATTTATTTAAACAAATTCAAAATTAAATTTAATATAAATTTCTTAATAATCAATAATAAATAATATATTAAATAATTATGATAAATCTAATAATTACACAGTCACATATGATAATTATACTTTGGCTGTAGAGTAATTTGCAACAGCAAAAGGTTAATTATCTAAACTGAATAATTATAATGTAACTTCACGAGTAATCTCTAATAACCTGTGAAATTATTATTAATAATGTAACTTATGTGATTGATTTACTGTGAAATAAAAAGTCAGAATACTTTAAGGCAGTATTTACTCTTTACACACTTGTCTATTCTTTAAAGATAGCACTGCAATTAGTTGTAATCAGTGATAAATAAGCATTACAGAGTTGCAACTATTTATAACATTAATAAAAATTAAGTTTCAACTAGTTGTAACTGTTGATAAATAAGCATCACATGATTATAACTAGTTGCAATGCCATTTTTAAACTGTCTATTACAGACTAGCCTCTGCGCAAGTTCTCAATCAGTTATATATGATGGGTATATTTACTAATTTTTATTATAGAACTATTGATACAATTAATTGTTTTTCTAATATTTGATTTGATTAATTGGTTATAATCAATTTATATTGTGATATAACAATTATTTTTGATCTTTATTTGTTAAAAAAAATAATAAAGTTATTTGAAAAAATTCACTACGCCTCTAACCAAAATTTCGATATTTTACAGAACTGTAAACTGCACTTGATATGAAATTGATTCAACAAATAAAAATTCTATTTTTAGAATTACTTTAATATTATAGCATTATGATTTAATTTTTTTAGCTCGGAACTAGAAACACTCCTAATACATGATTTGGTATTTCATATGAATTGCAAAATAAAAAAAAAGTAATATTGATGATTTGAAGCGTATTCAAAAATTTTTATAGCTTTGATAACTATAGGGTAGGAAAGTGAAAAGGAAATAGATCTTACATAATGGTAACGGTAATAAGAGAAATAATGTGAAACTGTCAAGCAGAAAGTTTGAATTATTTAAATTTATAAAAATTTTTATCAGTAAGTTTTTGGATGCATAAACGTGAATGATGAAGTGATTAAAAAGCATTTATCAAAATAATATTTATTAATATAAAAATCAAAAAATAATTTTTAATTTAAAAATTTTAGATATTGCAGATCGATACATAACGATAATAGATCGCAGTTTAAATCATTTCCTTTATAATACATCAATTAAAATTTTTTCATCGGGCGAAATGCCACAAGACAGTAAGTTTTAATGAATTCGACACATTTACGAAAATTCTTATCCAGTTTTATTTGTCTTAAATATTAGATGAAACTATATATGTTGACGAGATACATGGCTCTGATGAAACCGGAACAGGAACTCGGGATGCTCCCTATAAAACAGCAGTTCACTCTCTTCAAGCGAAAGGTGACAATATAAAAATTCTAGTTCAGAAAACTTCTGAAGAAGGTTACAAAGATATATCAGGTTCCGCCTTAAAAAAAGCCAAGAAACGAGTTGAGGACTTGACAAAAAAGGCCAAGAAGGAAGAAGAAAAAAGGAAAGCTGAAGCTGAAAAAGCAAACCTTCAAAAAGCAGAAGAAGAAAGAAAATTGGAAGAAGCAAAAAGTATTGTTCTTGAACAAGATCCTACTCTTCCACAGGCAATAAAGGTGAAAAAAAATATATAATTATTGAACTTTATCAAAACTTCCACTCATATATATATATATATATTTTATAGATAAAGATTTTGAATTCAGTTTCTAATCGTGGAAAGCGCGTTAAAGTTTCTGGATGGGTTCACCGCCTTCGCACACAAGGAAAAGATATGAAGTTTATAGTTTTGAGAGATGGTTCTGGATATCTTCAATGCATTCTCACCGGCAAATTGGTGCGCTTCGAAGTTTATATTCAATTTAACTTCATAATAATTGCTAATTTGTTCTATATTTAGTGTCATACATATGATGCATTGACTTTATCCCTCGAATCGACAGTTACGATTTATGGTGTGATATCCGAATTACCTGCTGGCAAAACGGTAGACTTACACGTTTAAAACTTGTGTTATTTTAAAGTTTTTTCGTTAATATATATTTCAATTACCAGGCTCCTGATAATCACGAGCTTCTTGCCGATTATTGGGAAGTCATTCATAATGCACCGGGTGGCGATGATGCATTTACCAACAAACTTAATGCTGAAGCCGATCCATCCGTATTATATGAACAACGTCATTTAGTAATTCGAGGAGAAACTGCATCTACAGTGTTAAAAGTTCGATCTGCAGTTATGAAGGCGTTTCGCGATCATTTCGACTCTAAAGGATTTACAGAGATTAACGCTCCTTGCATGGTTCAGACTCAGGTCGAGGGTGGAAGTACTTTGTTCGAAATGAATTATTACGGAGAAAAAGTAGGAAAGCAACAAAATTTTTTAAAAGCTCTACAATCATCTTATCTTAAATCATTGGGTTTTTTAGGCGTATCTTACACAGACCTCTCAATTATACCTCGAGACATGTCTCCCATCACTTGGAGACGTATATTGTATTTCAGAATCTTATCGTGCCGAGAAATCACATACCCGTCGTCATTTATCCGAGTGAGTTATTCAACATTTAGTTCAAACAAATATAATTAATATAATTTCGTAACGTATTCAATCATTCCTTATTACATTAAAGGTATACCCATTTAGAAGCCGAAATGGTTTTTATTACATTTGATGATCTATTAAATGCTTTGGAAGATTTGATTTGCGATACAATTTCTCGTGTCCTCGCACATGAACCAACTCGCAAATTAGTTTACCAACTTCATCCAGATTTCGTACCTCCTAAACGTCCTTTCTTACGTATGGACTATAAAGATGCGGTTCAGTATCTCAAAGACCACGATATTAAAAAAGAAGATGGAAGTTTTTATGAATTTGGTGAAGATATTCCAGAAGCTCCTGAACGTGTTATGACAGATCGAATTAATCAACCGATTTTCCTATGTAGATTTCCCGCTGAAATCAAAGCATTTTATATGAAACGATGTGCTAATGATAAGCGGGTTACAGAAAGTGTGGACGTTTTGATGCCCGGCGTAGGAGAAATTGTGGGTGGAAGTATGAGAATTTCAGATATATCTGAATTATTAGAAGGATATAAAAGAGAAGGTAATGTGGTTTTTCTTCAATTTTATTTTATTTAACTATTCTTCTAATTTCCCTTTATTTGTAAATAGGAATTGATCCAACACCATATTATTGGTATACAGATCAACGAAAATATGGAACGACTGAGCACGGTGGATTTGGATTAGGTGTTGAAAGGTTTTTAGCTTGGTTATTACATCGTGATACAGTAAAAGAATGTTGTTTATACCCAAGATTTATGGGACGTTGCTTGCCATGAGAATAAACATTCGAAAATAATTTATATTTTGGCGTATAAATAATATTTTATCTTTTAATAAAAAATTTTAATTTAATATTTATCCGTCTTAATTTTTATAATGTTATAGTAACGTAATGGTATGGATGTTCATTGAAATTCCAATCAAAAGTTAACTTTCTTTTTGGAAGATAAAATCGCGAAAATGGATAAATTTGGACATATATATATTTGTGTTAAGTCATCTGATATGATTGATTAAATTCTGCGGGGAAAAATTTTTTGATGACGGAGTACATGTACAAAAATTTTTAGGGGCTTTTGAGATTTGCGTCTGGCTTTCAGATTTGATCACATATTCATCAAATTTTTTTTTTTTTTTTTTTCGAAAAAAAGAATCCCCAAACGTTTCTTAGTTCATTAAAAGAAACTTTATATTAGGGGTTATCCATTTTATTAGAGTTCGAAGATACGAGCTCAATTTTATTGACGGTCTCTTTTTTTTTTTTTTTCTTTTTTTTTATTCCAATACGACCTTTAACAGCAATTACTTGTGTTTATGTTGTTCTCCCATTCAGAAGAATTTGGGACTGAAAGTTATACTGATAAATCAAACATGAAACGCCCTAACGATTACGGAAATCAAAGTCACGATAATAACCAGAAAAAACCACGTTTTGGACAAAGCGCTTATAGCGGTAATAATTATTCTATGGGTGGAGGTATGAGAAGCGACCTTGCACAAGGTTCCTCAAATAGTGATTTATATAGTCATTTTCCTCCTGTTGGTCCATCAGCAATGATGATGGGTAACCCTACATACTCTCAAGGTGCGGCTGGTTTTCACCATCATCCAGGTCATACTGCCGGCCACTTTGGCATGAGCGGGTACCACCAAGCCTCACAATACGCTACCTCTATGAATCAATATACTCCTAGTGTCAGCAGCATGGTTCCTCAATTCTCTGGGGCTTTTTCTGCCGCACAGTTTCCAACTTCTTACCAACAGACCGCCGTCGCTTCTCCCTCTACAAACGCAACTGGTCGAACCGTTTATCTCGGAAATCTTCCTCCAGACGTACCAGTTGATGAAATCCTCAATCAAGTTAGAGTCGGTCCAATAGAATCGGTCCGTGTACTTGCTGATAAAAGTTGTGCTTTTATTTCGTTTATGGATGGCTCTGCGGCTATGGCATTTTATCAAGATGCTTCAACTCGTAAAATCCTTATCCAAGGACAAGAATTGAAGGTCGGATGGGGTAAAGCTTCTCCGGTACCCGTTAATGTTCAAGTTGCAGTTTCTACTCAAAATGCTACACGTAATGTTTATTTGGGTAATTTAGATGAAACTATAACAGAAAGTACTTTACGTGAAGATTTGTCAAAATATGGCAATATTGATACTGTTAAGATTGTTAGAGAAAAGAACATTGGTTTTGTTCACTTTTTTACTATTTCTAGTGCCATGAAGGCTGTACAAAGCTTACCAACCGAACCCAAATATACAAATAAAAAAGTAAACTATGGAAAGGATCGATGTTCCCAGAGACCCAATTTAGGAAATGGCACGACCGCTCAATATGCTGGATTCCCAACCGGAGCTCTTAATTTTCAAAGTTTCGGTAATGCCGCTATGGGATTCGGTTTTGATCCATATCAAAATGCGGTCGTCGCCGCCACAAGTCATCTTGATAATGGTACTGAACTAAGAAGTCCAACTAGTCCATTATTCTCTTCCGCTTCATCTGCTGCTGGTAGTGCAACTTCTGGTTCAACCATTGGCAATCGAACGATTTACCTTGGTAATATTCATCCGGATACGTCATGTGAAGAAATTTGTAATGTTATCCGAGGTGGAATTCTCCAACAAATTCGCTATATACCGGAAAAGCACATAGCTTTTATCACTTTTATTGATCCTAGTGCTGCAAATAGCTTTATGTATCTGGCTCAACAAACAGGCGTTATGGTAAAAAATCGTCGCCTTAAGATTGGTTGGGGAAAAAATCCAGGACCTTTACCAGGATATATCCAGTTGGCCGTTAATACTCAAAGCGCCTCTCGTAATGTTTATGTGGGACAAATAGATGATAATATTAGTGAAGAGAAACTTAAGAGAGACTTTTCCGAATACGGTGATATTGAACTTGTCAATATCCTTAAGGAGAAGAATTGTGGATTTGTCAACTTTACTTCGATCACATCTGCTATGAAGGCCATCGAAAATATCAAGATGAAAGAAGAATATAAAAAATTCCGTATCAATTATGGAAAAGATCGTTGTGGTAATCCTCCGCGAGGTTCTTCTGCTAGCTCAAGTAATGGTACAGGTGGAAAGACCAAGGGTCGTAATAATGGCGAGTCCGATGCAAGAGTACTTCATGCTGGTGATTCAGAAACTGGAAATATCGATATTGTTGATGAAGAAGTTGGGGATGAAGTCGATGAATAATGGACAGTGGTTAGTAAGAACCTTTAAATGCATTGCATTTGAGGAATATCAAATATTTCTTTCTTTTCCTTTAGTTATTCAATTATTCAATTACTTAGTATTTTGGCTAGATATTGAATGTTGTATAAGAAAAATTTGGGTGATTCTATGGTTTGAGGGTGTCCTTTTTTTGATCTCATCCTTTTTCTTTCTTGTAGCTATTATACTTTTTATTCAAAAATTTCGCTTTTCTTGCCTTATATATATATCCCTCTCCCTTTGTTATTCAGTCTTTGGAAACTTCTTTATTAAAAAAAATTTATGTTCTATTTTTCTTTATATAATCATATGATTTGTTGGTTTTTTTTTTTTTTTTTTTTTTTAAAAAAAATTATTTTTTTTTCTTATCATGAACCATTGGTCTATTTTGGGTTGTTTGGGTGATCTTATATTTCAAGTAACAATAATGGGGTGTGGGATTTAATTTTTTTTCTTAAAAATTGGTTGGACTGCTTTTCTTTTTATAGTCCTTAAGTAATCATATATAGATATTAATTTTTATTTTTTTCCTACTCCCTTTCATTTTTTCTTCATTTAGGGGGGTGATCAAACTTAGTGTTATTTGATCATTAACATTTCATTTCTTTGATCACTTTATTTACTAAATTTTATAATTATTTTGATCATTCCAAATTTTTTCCTTATATATTTGATTTCGTTTTTCTTGTATCTAATTATAAAGCTTTCCCCTCTTTTTTTCTCAAATTTTTTTTTTTTTTTTTTTTTTTTTTTTTTTTTTTTATAGTGTAAGCTTTTCGTTTTCGGTATATATACTTTTTCCCTTCCCTGTTGATTAATTAACCTTTCCTTTTTTTCCTTTTTTTTTTTTTTCCAAGAAAAAAAAAAAAGAAAATATATTGTATTATTTGGTTATTTTTATCTTGGCTTTTTTTTTTTTTTTGCTTTTTTTTTTTTAAAAAAAAACACTTTTTTTTCTTTTTTCATTCATAAAAGCCTCATGTCATAGATTTGCATTAATTATTATTACCTATAAAAAAAAATTTTCAAAAACTACAAAAGAAAAAAAAAAATCCTTTACGAGAAAATATTATAAAAATAATAGCATTAATATATTCTTCTTTTATTAATTATTTATAATTTGATATTTTTTAATTAATCATGCCTCTTTTTTCTTTTTTTTTTCCTTTCCTTTTTTTTTTTTTTTTTTTTTTGAGGTTTTCTAATTTGAGATTTAAATCATTTTGCTATATGCCCAAAGTTATTCATTTCAAACATCATATACAAGTTTTTTAAACAGTTTCAAACGCAGTTTTGTTCAAAGTTTTTATCATTATTATATTATCATCATTATTTATTATACGTACAGTTTAATTTATTGCACAAAGTTTTTGATCGAATTATTCTATTTTTTGATTAATCGCCGGATAGCCTTTGTTAATTATTTTGCCCAAACATATAAACGCCTTCGTCTATAATTAACTAATTTTTTTTTTGTTTTCACTTAAAATACATATAACTTCCATTATCCTATTCTATGTTTCAATCTCGTTTTTCCGCGACAATGAAAGGAATTCATCACCTTTTCCAAGTGAAGTTCTTGGGGTTGATTAGTGGCAACTTACTCGATTGGCAATACAACCTTATCGATCTCTTCAAAGTGTAGGATACGTATTGCGCGAGCTTCTTTTTCCTTCTTGGATACCATTAATGTAAGTTTTTCGTTAATTTTTTTTTTTTATAAAAAAAAAAGAATTTTCACTTACATTATCATCATCAATCGATTCCAGACTGTGAGTTTCTTTCTTAACCTTTCTAGTTTTATATTCACTGTGTATTTTTCTTTTTCGTATTGTTTGCGAAGGTTCTTTTTTTTTATGATCTAATACTTTTTCATTATCGCCTACAAATATTCAAGGAAAGCGTGTCACTTAATAATAATTGTGTGAAATTAAATGAATCATTACAATTAGAAATTCCTTTTAAACACACGTTTGATGCGACGGCGAGGTGGTAAAATGGAAGCTATTAAATCAACAGTTTTTGTAATATTTGTAGGCGGTTTTTGAATTTTTATAGATGAAAGGTTCACAGATATTTTATCATTTTCTGCTGAAAGATGATCCTCATCAAGGTTCGGTTGACTATGATTTTTATCGACATTGTCAATATTAGATTCTTCGTTATTCTGTTTTCGTTGAGCCTCATTTTGATTTTCAATTCCGGGTTCCAGAAGAAAGTCATCATAATCATCAGTGTCACTATAATTTTGACCATCAGTTTCTTTAATAAGTGAAATGCTTTTGATTATATGGCTTTGAAAGTTCTCGTTTTCAATTATGATAACTTGATCAGATTTTTCGTAATTATTCGAAATTTTTTGATTATTGGTACCATTTTTTTTCATTATCTTTTTTTCAGCTTTCGCAAACCCAAATTCATCATCACTACTCTCTTTTTTATCTTTCTGAGTATTCCCTTGAGACAGGTTCCGTGATATTACTAACGAGCTAATTTCTCCATTGTCTTCCATTGATGACAAAGTTCTAATAGGAGATGGAGATCTTTTACGTCCCATTTCTGTAGGTGATGAATGATCGTCATATGTTAAATATTCATCATCGGAAGATAAAATTTCAATAGTAGGTCTGATTGAGGATTGAATTGGAGAATAAATATTCAGTAATCCTTCCGAAGATTTTCCAAGGTCTTTTACTAATTCCTTTGGCAGTTTTAATTTAAAGATTGGCTTATCATCATTTATACGACTTGTGTTTTTTGAAGTTTTTTTAACTTCTGTTTTTTTTCCCAAGTCCCTCTCTATAATTTTTAAATAAAAATTATACCATTAAAATTTTAAAAACATTTTATGTTTCTCAAAAATTGAATTTGTATTTACCCTCTTGTGTAAATTGTAATACACTTTTTTTAATAATTGTTCTTGAAGGACGCGGCATTTGACACATATATAAATATATATTTATTTATTGTTACGGAATGTTCGTGTCAATAATGAAAGTGCTCTGAATTTATATTTATGTGAGATATATTTTGCATTTTAATTTAATAGTTATTTCGTATTTATCCGAAACTACTTGTGTTTAAATTTTCCGCAGTAAAGGCTCATAAACTGAACAAAACGAAACAATGGTAAATACTATGTCGTCGTTTTCTTTTTTGTTGTATTTTAGCATTATAACAAATTAGAACACAAAAAATTTTATTGGATATAAAGATAGTAGATTTGGTTACTGCGGTCGTTAAATTTTCCGAAGTGTGTCATCTGATTTTTGTAAAAGTGGCTTATATTTGAAATGTTTTTTGTAATAGTATTTATTAATATTATATTATAATTATAAAAAGAAATTAGATAAAGAAAATAAATATAATTAATTTTGATTGAATATTTATTTTTTTTTTATTTTGCTTTTTCTTTGATTTTTTAATTCTTCTAAATGTAATTATGCAAATGCTAATTAATGATGTATTATTATGATTTTCTTTTTACCATTTTCCTTTTTGTTTAATAAATTGATATTTAGAATTTTTACTTTTTGTGAAATATGCAAATAATATGATTAGTTTTATTAGATTAGATATATTGCATATTTAATTTAGTTGAATTTGTTTAAACTTTTATTCAAAAGATTTAAAATAATATACATCATGTAATTACATTAATTAATAAAGCTTTAAAATCAAAATTTTTTTAATAATTATTAATAATCTAAATTAAATATAATTTATAATTTAGTATAAAAAGTTAAAATATTTTTTTATAATATAGTTTTTAAATACTTGCTACTATTATTATTATTTAAAATTAATATGATATCTAAAGATTGGTTAATAATATTAAGTTTAATATAATTTATTTTGAAACAAATTAATAAAGAAAGAATTATCTGCATTTAAATTATTATTAATTTTTCAATTTCTTTAGATACATTATTATTATAAATGATATATCATTTTATTTTGATTATTTTGATTACAATCTGATAAATTTGTTTTATTATATATGTGTAATACTGAAATTTCATTTTCATGTAAGCTAATAGTAATAGTGAATCTTTTATATTTGTTAACATTTGATAGATTTTTAGAATACTTATAATTTAGCTTTTAAAAGAAGCAGATCATAAATATGTAAATAGTTTATTTGTATTATTTATATATAATAATAAGGTGAATCAGTCTATAATTCATTAACAATCTATTTATTTTCTTGTAAAATATCATTTTCTTAGCTTATCATTGATTTTTATATTAAAATCATGTTAAAAGCATTATTTTCAGAATTAAATTAATACGCTCTAATTTTTAAAAAAATATATGTATTAAATCTTAAATATAATATATTTTATTTTATATATGAATTATTTCATTAGCTTATATTAATATTTTTAATAATAATTTGATTTTTATTTACATATAATCAATTGGTAAATATTCTTTAATATTAACTACTTTTACATTAATAATTAATAAGTGATTATTCAAAATTTAATATTTTGCCTTATTTACAGTTATAGTCTAAATATTTTGCTTATAAACTTTGATTATTATGATCTGATCAATAGGACATATAAAATTTTTAATGCATGATTTACAGTAATAATATTATATTAATATCATAAAAATCTAACATAATTTAAAATGATAATAATAAAATTGTTAAATGTATCATAAAGCTAATTAAAATTCACCATTAATATTTATGATAATATAACATATAGAGTAAAAGTTTAGTAATATAAATTTAATTCATTAACATCAAAATATTTTCATAATATTTTATATGATTTTGAATTTATATAGCTAAAAATTTAAAAAAAAGATTAAATATATGATAATTATTTTTTTTCAAATTTTTAGTGATTATATATATTAATATATTAAATTATTTCAATTAAATTATTGATAAATTGCTTTTATGTATTAGTATACAATTAAGTAAATATTTTTTATTATAATGGTAAATTCATTTAACAAAATTATTTTATAATTTTTATTTATGATTTAATTTATTTAATTATGAAATGGTTAATAAGTATAGCTTGTTTTGATATGCATTTTGTATTAAAACTATAATGCCATTTTCTATACTATTGAATAAAAATTATATTATTATCAATTTTAAGTTAAAATTATATATATATTTCTAAACTTATCATAAGTTCTATAATATTATAAATAAAGCTGATTTGAATTGTAATTGTAGTTAGTATTTCTTTAATTTTAATATATTCTATTATTACAAAATTTAAAATAATAATATTACATTTAAAAGATAGTTTTTTAGTTATAAGTTTATAAAAAATCTTTTATCATCATTTTGTAAAAAATAGGATAGATATATAATTTATAAAGAACTTTCAATTCTTTGAAAATATGTATAATTATAAATAATATTTTTTAAAGAAGTTTATTTAAGAGTTCAAAAAAAAGTTATTTTGACATGTTTTAATTTTTTCTTTTATTAATTTATAAATTTATTACAAATTTAATTTTATTCAGAAGTACAGTTATAAAAAAAGTCATTTAAAACATAATTACCTTAATCAATATTGCTTTATAGATTTTAATTTTATCCTTTATAAGTAAATTACTTTAAAAGCATAAAAATTATTTAGAAGTGTAGTTAAAAAAGAAAAATATATAATTAACATTTTTTATAAATTTGATTTATAAGTAAATGATTATATAAAAAAATAATATATATATATTAATCATCTAATTTAGTCAATAATTTTTTCATATTAAAAAAAAAATTTTTTAATGAATATTAAGATTATATCTTTATAAATGATTAAAAATAAATAATAATTTATTATATTAATATGTAATATATCTTTTATTATGAAATTTTTGATCAAATAGTTAAATTATAAAAAAGTAAAATTCTAAATAAAATTTTAAAATTTTTTCTTTTAAAAATAAAAATTCAAATAGTTAGATTATATGATTTTAATTTCAAATATGAAAATTAATTATATAAATTTATTATAAATATTTTTATGATATTATTTTGTATTAATTAATTAAATTTATATAAATTTAAATAATAAAATTTTTTTAAATAAAATTTTACATAAAAATATGAATTTAAAGATAATAATGGTAATAAATAAAATATATAATTATTTCCCTTTATAATCACACTATATATAATTACATAATATAAATCCCTCATTATAAGCATACATTTTATAAAATCAATATCTATTAATGTTATATAAAAAACCCTTTATAATCATAGTATTTTTATAGTTACATTCTTTCAAAACTAACTCTTAGTAATAATATATAGAAATCACTCTATATAATCACTTTGTATTATAAATATACTTTTTATTTTTAGTCTTAAAAGATATGACTATAAAGAAGAATGACTGTATATTATTAATAATTTTGAAAAAAACTTAATTTAATTTAATTTTTTTATTAAATTTAATAATCTTTTATCTGATTAGTAATATTTAATTATTATAATAAATCACATAAAATTTAATGATAAAGATTACTGTAAATGGTGAACTATAGTATCTGAGTATCATACAAATTTAAGAATTTTAAAGGGTACTATACTATAGAGGATACTTTAAATAAAAAAGGGGGATACACAGAAATTTATTTTAATTTACTATATTTATAATCAGTTAAATATAAATTAAAAAATATTAATGATCTAAAATGTGACTTGGATTAAAAGAATACAAAAATCATAGATCATCATTTTTTAGATTAAAATCATGTTCTTACCCCTTTGTACAAAACTTAAATTCATAAATTTGTTTTTGTTTCTTTGTTTTATTTATCTATGCTTTTTTAAGTATAGTAATATGGTTGTTCATAAAGGTAAAAACAAAAAGCATAGGTAACAATAAAAAAAAAAAAACAGTGATATGCTTATGAAAAGTTACTTATAATAAGTCATGTTGAACAATGTGGAAGTAAACGTTTAGCAGCAAGAAAGTTTAATATAGAAATAAAACAAATCTGTTATTGGATGAACCAAAAGTCTCAACTTGAAAGTGTAGCATCACATATACAAAAGTTACATAAAGGTAAAAGTGTAATACTTTTAGAATTTGAAAAAAATCTTTTTCTATGAGTATCTGATTTATACAAGGATGCAAAAGCTGTTACATAAAATATGTTAATTAGAAGAGTCAAAATAATTGCTAAGGAAAAAAATGGTTTGCATAAATTTAATAAAGTTATTAGCAGTGCTACATCGTAAAAAAAAAAAAAAAAAAATGAGTAGATCTATATCCAATTATTACTCAATTAAATTTTCTGAAGCATAGTTAGAGGGGTTAATGAAAAGATATAATCTTGTTACAAGAAGAAAAACGTATGTTGTACAACATCTTTCTGATGATCTTTTAATAAAATAGCAAAATTTCTTAAGTTTTATTTTATATAGACGAATCTAACATAATTATCTATTAAGATATATTAGCAATATGGATGAAATACCAGTTACATTTGATCTACCTTATTCAACTACAGAGGGTGGACAAAAGTATCCGCACACTTTTTCACTCAATATAAAACTTATAATTTTTTTGCATTAACAAT